AGGTATACCTGAATGATCCGAAGTGAACGAACCTACTAAAGGAAAGACTGAGAATGCATTAAGATGTTGGAGTGAGAGAAGCTTATTGTAATTGATCAGCAATCATAATTGAACTGACAGTTGATTTCATATTGACAGCTTGAAGAGGATAAAGGTTTTTACTTGCCATAATTGTAAAATTGTAATACAAAACCAGCAAAAAGTCCAAGATCGACTCCAACGTTAAAAGGCCTGGAAGCAGTACAAACCAAATGCAGTGGAAGAAAAGCAAAACCCAACAAGAGCAGTAGCATGTCACGGTGCAAAATCAACAAGCTCACAAAGCACAATCTTAGCAAATCAAATAAATCAACAGTTTGGCATTTTAGGGGAAGGGCCTATCACCACAATGACTAGAAATACTAGATAATATTAGTTCAATGGCTGACATGGAGAGAAGCACAAATTAGTTCAAGAGTCTTCAAATTCTTCAATCAAGCACTAAACTAATACCAAATCATGTTCTTTACACAGCAAACATGCAAAATTCAATAAAACAAAACAAAAATTGAACAAGAATAGTGGATAACAAATAACCCAGTTCTCAGCCTTGAAGAATGGAGAAGCAAAACAAGTATGTGAAGAAAATGTATACGAAGGCATAAAGATAGCAATGATACGATAGCAAGGCACAGAATCTAGCCAAAATCACCCAAACCTCATCACCAATGGACCAAACATGGCTTTCCAGTCACCAAAACCACCAAAGTTCATCACAGGTTAGCCGAAAAAATGATGACGTAGTAGCAATGGGCAGAATCAGCTAGAAAAGAATCACCGGTGGGTAGTCACCAAACTGCCGATTCACCAAAACCACCATAACTTCATCACAAATCAACCAAAGTGCCTTGAATCACCCAACTGAGTACACAAGCCCCTTAGTCACATCCCATAACACTGATTTGAAGCAACATAATCGAAGAAAAATCAAGAGAAGACTAGATCAAAAAGTTGAGACATTTTTTTTGAAAATCATTCAAAAAATAAAAAACCTATCATATTATCTCTAAATCAAAAAACCAATACCACTAGGTTGTAGTCTATGAGATTTTGAGTAGATTGGTGGGTAACATTGCTACAAGATACAAATGTCATTATGATGTCATTGTTGTCAGATGAAGCAATATCAGACGTTGGTTTCTGCAATTCTGATTTCTTCTGGAATTTTTTTGGTAAACACTGTTCCATTGCTAGACGCATCGTAACATACTCTGATATCATAAAAACTTTGATAACATATCAGATAAAGAGAAGAAACATAGAGAATACTATTACGACTAATAGTTTGCTTACAACATTATAATAAAAGGTTCAAAGAGAAACTCTTTTATAGTAGGGCAAAACAACATAGGAAAATGACCAAACTACCCTAATACTAAAAATACTTTAAGAGTAGTTGGCCACAATTTTTTAGTGATTGCAATTTGTTACGGAGAATAGGGTGCTGAAGGATGCCGCATGCAAGAATTTTCCGAATACATGAATCCTGTTTCGCCATTGAGCTCTATTAGCACCAATTTTTTCAGTTAAACTATAGGTTATCATATATTTCTTTAATTAATTTGAAGTTATTTTTGATCTTCCTTTACTCCTACGTTTACTTCCAATAATTATTATATCACTCTTTCTCACTGATGCTGTAATAGGCCATTTATAAATATGTCCAAACCACCTAAGTCGATTCTCCCTTAACTTATCTCCTATATGTGCTACATCTATTTTTTCATGGATATATTTGTTCTTCATTTTATCTTTCCTAGTTTTAATACACATCCATCTTAACATTCTCATTTATGCCACACACAGTTTTTGAATATATTGTTTCTTAGTTGCCCAACACTCAGCACCATAAAGCATAGCTGGTCCTATGGCTGTTCTATAGAATTTTTCTTTTAGGTTAAGGGGTATACGTCTATCACACAATACACTGGCATGACCTGTGGCACATAATTAAACTTAGAAATGTGCTTCCATGGAATATTGTGAGTGAAAATGTTGTGGTTCCAATTGATTCAAGTGCTACAGTTTGTGACAATATTAGTTATAGTTAGTGATATTTAATTGGAGCTTCCCCCCAACCAAAAAAAGAAAAAAAACAGCTGTGTAACAAATTCTACCATGTGAATTTAGAGTGGTGGGAAGTTAAGAATCTGAGTATTTATAGTTGATGATACACAATGTGATGTAGACTGTAATTTTCACAATCACTTGCTGGCTGTTGTTGGAGCAGCAGGAAAGTTTTGTACCTTCTAATCCAGGTAATTATATTCAGAACTACGATAGGGAGGTCTGGACTGCTATTTTTAAAGATATTGTGCGTAGAATATGAGCTTCATTTTCTGGTCTTTTCACAAAGCTTCATGGTAAAACTCAATATTGGTGGATTTTTTAAGAATAATTCTGGTGTAGCTGGAACTGATGCCTTCTTCGTGGGGATGGTAGTGAGTTGCTAGTTTCTTGCTATTTGGGGGAGTTGCCATAACCATAGATCAACACTCTGGGCCCTATTTCAAACTCACATCGCCTTGGTTCAAAGGGTGCACTTGTTTGGGATCTGAAAGGGATTGAGAATCAGTTATCCTTCAGGGAATTTTGGAACTCATCCAAATCTGTCTCTTATTAAAGTGTGGTAAGGGTTTCTGGCCAAGGAATGAACATGGTGAGTTGAAGTGTATTTTCTGACAGGATAATGGGTGCGTAGATTGGCTGGTAAGTCAGGGTTTGTGCTGCAGATTTGGATTTGGGGTTCTTTGTCTTTGTCTTTTAATAATTTTCTGCAGAATGATCTTTCTAGTGTGAGGGTTGTCTACTTCAGTGTAGCTAGGTGTCAGGACCAAAGTAAACATCCTCCAAACCTCTCCGCTCAAGAAAAAAAAAAAAGANTTACTCCTACGTTTACTTCCAATAATTATTATATCACTCTTTCTCACTGATGCTGTAATAGGCCATTTATAAATATGTCCAAACCACCTAAGTCGATTCTCCCTTAACTTATCTCCTATATGTGCTACATCTATTTTTTCATGGATATATTTGTTCTTCATTTTATCTTTCCTAGTTTTAATACACATCCATCTTAACATTCTCATTTATGCCACACACAGTTTTTGAATATATTGTTTCTTAGTTGCCCAACACTCAGCACCATAAAGCATAGCTGGTCCTATGGCTGTTCTATAGAATTTTTCTTTTAGGTTAAGGGGTATACGTCTATCACACAATACACTGGCATGACCTGTGGCACATAATTAAACTTAGAAATGTGCTTCCATGGAATATTGTGAGTGAAAATGTTGTGGTTCCAATTGATTCAAGTGCTACAGTTTGTGACAATATTAGTTATAGTTAGTGATATTTAATTGGAGCTTCCCCCCAACCAAAAAAAGAAAAAAAACAGCTGTGTAACAAATTCTACCATGTGAATTTAGAGTGGTGGGAAGTTAAGAATCTGAGTATTTATAGTTGATGATACACAATGTGATGTAGACTGTAATTTTCACAATCACTTGCTGGCTGTTGTTGGAGCAGCAGGAAAGTTTTGTACCTTCTAATCCAGGTAATTATATTCAGAACTACGATAGGGAGGTCTGGACTGCTATTTTTAAAGATATTGTGCGTAGAATATGAGCTTCATTTTCTGGTCTTTTCACAAAGCTTCATGGTAAAACTCAATATTGGTGGATTTTTTAAGAATAATTCTGGTGTAGCTGGAACTGATGCCTTCTTCGTGGGGATGGTAGTGAGTTGCTAGTTTCTTGCTATTTGGGGGAGTTGCCATAACCATAGATCAACACTCTGGGCCCTATTTCAAACTCACATCGCCTTGGTTCAAAGGGTGCACTTGTTTGGGATCTGAAAGGGATTGAGAATCAGTTATCCTTCAGGGAATTTTGGAACTCATCCAAATCTGTCTCTTATTAAAGTGTGGTAAGGGTTTCTGGCCAAGGAATGAACATGGTGAGTTGAAGTGTATTTTCTGACAGGATAATGGGTGCGTAGATTGGCTGGTAAGTCAGGGTTTGTGCTGCAGATTTGGATTTGGGGTTCTTTGTCTTTGTCTTTTAATAATTTTCTGCAGAATGATCTTTCTAGTGTGAGGGTTGTCTACTTCAGTGTAGCTAGGTGTCAGGACCAAAGTAAACATCCTCCAAACCTCTCCGCTCAAGAAAAAAAAAAAAGAAGCCAAAAATGCTCTTTTTTTTTCTCCCTTCATATTAATTATTACTCTAAAAGTTCCTAATAAGGTGATGGAAGCACAAAAAGACATTGGGAAAAAGAACATTCTGTCTTTGGAAGGAGATCATGAAATAAATCCCACAGATCACTCCAATCAATCTTTGTTGTCATAAACTGTGTCAATCAATCCCGTGAGTTACCATGCTGGTGATCGAATCCTTTTTCCAACCTGTACAAGCCTGTTGCAGTGGTTCCTTGTCTGGTGATGATCCACAAACTTCTTAAAGTGGTTATTGTTTTTAGCTTGACATGCATAAGGCACTATCTACTTGCCTTCCTGTGGCAGAAGTTGTCCTTTAAACCTATTACTATCGTGGGAACTGGTGCCATTGGACAAGAGCTAATATCCATATAAATCAGTCTATGTGGGTGTGATCAGGGATGTTGACCTTATTTCCATTTTACCTTTCTGCTTTGTGCTATTAAAGAAGCATGCCTAGAAGTAAGTCGAGGAATTTCTGTTTTTATGGACCGATCTGTTTCATTCATGTTCAAGAATATGTACATATAAGTCTAAAATCTGCAGAGTGGGAGTTTTTCTGGTCTGGTTATAAGATAAATGCCAATCACCAAATTGGCTTGGATATTTCAAAACACCTCAAAATGAACTTAACATTTTCCAATGCAGTACAGGGGTTTCACAAAATTTTGCTCCTATCCCTCTTAGTACTATTGATTAACTACTTCTTAGTACTAACGATTAACTATTTATTTTTTTGTCTTTCCAGACCCGCAGAAGGCTGTCTGTGCTGTTACTGGATTGCCTGCAAAGTAAGATAGTTCTCCATGTTTTTATAGTTATTGTTTTTATGTTTGTTGGTTCAGGGTGCATTGTCTGGGCATTGAAAATTCTAGCCACTATTATTAGTAAACCCAGTTTCAGTTTGGTGCCTTATGTTGACTTTCTTAACATGTATTCAGAAGGAAGATCTCTCTCTCTCTCTATCTCTCTCTTCACGGGAGTATGCCCTACTTGAGCTCTGGTGGACATTCAAAGAATATTTGCATGGGAGTTTAGAACTTTTGGTTAGACATAGGGTATTCAAAGTTTTAAGTGGCTATTGCTATAAGTTTTTAAAAGTTCTAGAGGTTTTATGCAAGTAATCTGGGGGTTTATCTGTTAACTTATGCTTCTGTAAAAATCATTAGGGTCCCCTTCCTTTTAAAGCCTACCAGCTAGCATTCAAAATCACAAGCATAGTGAACTATAGGGAGTGGCAACCAAAAGAAAAAGCCCACCCAGCCTTCCCTTATCAACTCCCAAGACACCTTCAGAATCCCATACCAATGTTTTATTACTGTAAAATGTGGTGGGCTCACATGTAGTTAGCCAGAGCTGTACTCCGTTTCTCTGTTTTTCATTTTCTTTTTTCTCTTATATTTTGTTGCTCTTAATTTACTATCTCTTTTATTTCATCTCTCTCACATATAACCTCGCTTGGAATTCTCATCTCTCTTTTCTCTTTCTCAAGTTATCTTTCAACGGACCTATTCTCTTCTCTTTTTCTCCCTCCGTCTCACTATCGCTCCCATCTTTTCTGCCTTATTCTATTTCTTTGCATACTTCTCTTCTTTCCTCCACTTCTTTGCCTTCCATTCTGTATCATTCTCCCTTCGGCATTGTTTATCGTAACAAAACAATTTTGTTTGACCTGAAGTTTCCTACCACAATTTTACGTCGTTTCATTTGTAAAAGTGTTCAGGCAGGTGAAGCAGTTCTAGATTTAGCTGGTAGATTTAGCTGCTTGTGAGACCTGTACCTCTTTATACTGTCATGAATGTAAGTGTACCTCTATTTATATTGGCACAAAAGTAATGTAATCTGTTGTTTTGTTTGGTTATTATGTGGATTGTGCTATGGTTTAGGTACCGTGACCCGAGGACAGGACTATCTTATGCAACAAAAGAAGCTTTTAGAAAAATTCGTGAACAGTAAGTCTTGATTTACCCCCTTTCGTATATTCATATAGTTTAAATGATCTTTGGTAATTGATACACCTTTAGTTCACCAACTTTTTGTATCAAAATTTGTAGTTTCAGTAATTTTAATTTAACCCCATAATATTTAGTCATTCAATTGTATAGGGATTGGATGTCACTGTCTTTGTTTTCCTTGCAGGTCGTTTTTGCTTTTTTTTTGTTGTTTTCACTTTTTGAAAAAATAAAAATGCGTTTGGTGAATGTTTTCCTTTTTTTTGCTGCTCCGTTTTGCAAATAAGGACAAATTATGAAAACATTCAAAATGATGTATTTGAAAATATTCAAAAAATGAAAACACACGGAGGCATCGGAAGGACTTTAATGAGGTCCAAAGTTCTCTTGGCAGTAAACAACAGATTTTTTTTTGGCATATATTTAATGACCGAAGTCAGACTCTCTCTCTCTCTCGTTTTGACTCTCTCTCGAACGGCTTTCATCACTGAAGTCTCACGAAGCTCTCTTTGGCAATCTCGCTCTGGCAAAACTCTCTCCTATCTCTTTGTTCGACATCTCTCTCAAAGATTATTTACTATATATAATTTATAAATACCCAGATTTGTATGTATATGTATATATATACATAGATCTGCATATATATACAAATGTGTGTTGTGGGTCTCTCCAGATCTCTTCAATTAGCATTTTTTTTTTTTTGGCTCTTAGTTTAACATTTGAAACATCTGGTATGGTGGGGTTTGTGTGGTGGAGTTTAGGTAGTTGGATGGTGGGGTTTTGGGTGGGTTGATTGGTGGTTTTTTGGGACCGGTGGTGATGGGTTTTTAAGGGGTGGTGTGTGGTGGGTTTTGGGTGGTTGGGTTTTCACCCCTAATGGTATTTTAAGGAGCAACTTATTTGGTATTAAAAAACTAACAAAAAACAACCATAATACTAAACATGTTTTTTATTTTTTTAATTTTTTGAATATAAATGATTACCAAACATATTTTATTTTTTAGTTTTATCACAAAAAACACAAAAACTAGTTCTTTTTTTTTTTTTTAAAAAAAAAAAAAACGAAAAAACGAAAACGTTACCAAATGAACTTTAAATAACACTCATTTAGATCAAGTAGGTTTATTTCATGGAGGGCCATGAGTGATGGGTTTGGTTTAGAGTCTTTACACAGAAGGGTGTCATAGTTTAGTTTTCTCTAGTTAACGAGGTATGCATCCTTTACCACCGCACTTCAAAGCTATTGGTTGAGTGAAGCTTGATTTAAGGGCTTGTGCCACTTGATGCGCAAAGGTGTCTTGGATTTCCAATGGATGTTTTTGACCTCCTTTTACTTCTACCATAAGCATGGTCTACAGTTTGCAATAACAATTTAAGGAATGATACTTTTTTTCAATAATATTGCTTATCAAGTAAGATGATCTTGCATTAAAATTGTTAATAGAGTGCTGTGATTGTTCAACCTCTTTATCATAAATTTTTAAGGACTGATGTGTAAGAAATATTATGGCAATCACTTGATCTGGAGAGCCTGGAGGCTTAAACTTTTCAGTTTTGTTTTAAACATATATATACATAATTCACGTAAATATAGATTAAACGGGTCCTAAAGCAGTTGAGTAAAGCCACGTTGATTTCAGAATCTTTGAGTGGCTAGTGGATGATATAGAATTATCATAAAAAAACTAGAATTTCAATTCGATTAGGCAAGGCTTCTATATTACATTATGCTTTAGCTATCCTCAATATGTAGCTTAGTGAAAATTTCCATGATTGGGGATTATATGAACAAGACAGTTAAGCAGATTGTATCAACGATATAAAGAGACATTGCATACATAGCCTATTATTTTGCATGTTAATATTTGTAATACTGAGAAGCCAATATTTCTGTTAGTTATTTTTCCAATAATGCCCCATAAGCTTTAAATTTTATTTTTCTGAGAATCATTGAATGTACTGGAAAATTGACAACAGAAATGATGAGTATCTTAGTGTTGTGGTGCACCGAGTGATGTACCACTGGAAATCCCTTCCAAGAGAAAGCAACCATCAAAATATTAGAGTGGGGATGACATTTATGGTCTACATGAAACCCCTCCAAATATAGTGTTTTCTTGCAACTTTGTGAATTCTCTGACTGTTATAAGAATAAATTCTTTGAATGAGTTTTTCGTATGTTTACCAAATGGTAGGTATGACTATTGTTTGAATAGAATGTGTGCCTCAAATTTTTATGATATCTGCTTTGAAATTTGTTTGTTGCTTTGCAGGTTTTGATATATTCGCTGTTTTTGCAGGTTTTCAATTGAAAATAGCAACCTTGGGAAGAAAAGGAGCATGGGGATCCTATCTGAGTCAATTTCTGGGCAAGGTTTCTCTGGAAGACGGAAGAGAACAAAAAATTCAGACAATAGGGAAGCATGTCATTTCCGATCGTTGGCTCGATTCCGCAGAATTCCAGCTCTTGAAATTGAAGATTCCGAGTAGCTTGTACTTTCTCTTTTATTAGTCTTATTATATGAACTAGTCCAAAACCTGCACAATATGTGGAATGAGAAATGAGAAAAGAAAAATAGAATGTGATTGTATTTTTAGCTTATTAGTGTATGCATTCTCAAAAAACTGTACACTACAAAAATTGACACAATTGTTTATCTGAAGTTGATATATGTATATACATAGGTACATGTTTAAAACAAAATATATTGGGATGGACCTTTGTTGTCTAAAACTGAATATAGTTTAGTAAGAAAACTCCAAGTAGAGAGAGATATTGTTAGATGATTTATTGGTGATTGTATGTATAACAGTTGGTTATGAAGCTATATAGAAAAGGCACGTGGGGCTTCAAGTGGCCGGAATAGAACCAGTCGAAATTACGTTGTTTTATAGCATTTATGTTGTTGCCAGTTATTGCCCCGGTTGGTGCCGCTTGCTAGAGGTCATAACTGATGAGCAAACGGAAGAATTCAAAAGCTCAATTCCTTAACCTGACTTTCAGCTCTTGAAGGTTGGTAGTTGTTTTGGCTCACCTTTCAGGCCTTTATTCATTAATGAGCTAAGGGCAAACTCTCGAATATGTGCACTCTTTTCTATAGGTCCACTCCAAGTGAAAATAAGGAACAATATAACAGAAACTAGATGGTAACCAGGAAAAAAGGGAGGGGGGG